CCCTGTAATATGTACTACCCATGGCATATGCCTGTAATCCCAGCCCTCATGAGGATGAGCAGGAGGATCCTGAGTCCAAACCCATAGAGTTTGAGGGTGCTCCACACTGTCTCATGAAGACTTCCTGTGCAGTGAGAGTCATGTGAGAACTGAGCTTAAACTGTGTGTCTCTGTCTTAGAATCTGTTACACAGGAGGCAGGGGCACATGGAGTGAGGGATTGAGACACCACCTGGAATTTAGTGAAATCCTGGCTCAAAACAGCATTATAAGAGGCTGCAGATGTAGCTCAGTGGTAGAACACCGCTGGCCTCAAGCCCTGGTAATGCATCTATCAAAGAAATGTGGCGCCACACTACTGTATTAGAGCCACTAACACAATTTGCATCAAGTGTTCATGGTCAGTTGAATTAAGAGTAGATGCTTTTAGAATTAAGTCTTGAAAACAGGCACTATGCAGCAGCAATATGTCTGTCCAACTTGTGGACTAAGACTTATAGATAGTTGCAAACAAGAAATCCTTAAAAAAAGAAATTCTCTTGGGCCAGGGGTATGGCTCAGTGGTACAGTGCCTGCCTCGTAAGCTCAAGGTCCAGAGTTCAATCCCCAGTGGAGAGAGAGAGATAGGCAGAGAGAGAGAGAGAGAGAGAGAGAGAGAGAGAGAGAGAGAGAGAGAGAGAAAAGGAGAAGAGAGAGCTGTTAGGACCTAAGGACCTACCACGTTGAAGGCTTTGCTCTTCATGGGAAAGGCAATGGACAATCTTTGGAGAGTTTTAATCAAAGGTGGGGGCAGAGGGTATCAAGCTTCAGAAGGTTCAGTCTGGCTTCTTGGATGAGATACTTGAAGGGGACACAGTCAAGAAGCTACTGTAATAATGGCAGGGACAGTTCATGGTGACTTGAGGCAGTGTGGATGAAGTGACAAGGTTGAAGGTTAGTGGTCAGAGGAAGGCCATAGGCTGGGGAAGGTCAGAGCTGGAAGCTGCCCCAGCCCTGCAGCCCTTGCCCTGGAGAGCCTGGGACATTTTAGCCTACTTTTTCTTCAGGGAACCTAGGGCAGGGCCAGGGCAGGTGGCTGTTCTGCTTCCCCAGAATGGGTGCAGGGACTTACATGGATAGGATCAGGGACACTCAGAGCTACTGGCCTTGACCCTGTGGCTTCTTTACTGCAGTTTCTGCTACCAGTGCCAAAGCCAGGTGCCACCACGTAGTGGGCATTGCTCCGCCTGTCGTGTCTGCATCCTGCGTCGGGACCATCACTGCCACCTCTTGGGCCGCTGCGTGGGCTTCCGCAACTACCGGCACTTCCTGTGCCTACTGCTCCACGCCTCTGGTGTCCTGCTTCATGTCTCTGTGTTGCTGGGTCCTGCCCTGGCATCCCTGCTGCGGACCCATGCGCCCCTCCACACTGCCGCCCTCCTCCTGCTGCCCTGGCTCATGCTGCTCACAGGTAGGGACCATGGGTGAACTGCACTGGTCCAGAGAATATAGCCCCTCTTATGGGAGGTGGAGTTTCTGGCTGGTTCTCCTGGAACTGCCTTGAGGATCCAGGCCTGCTACTATCTGTGGGTCTAAGGGCAGTCTGGTGGGTGTGTAGCACTGTTCATCAATACAGCGTCCCCAGGCAAAGATCAGGAAAACCTGATCTAGGAGAGGAAGGAAGGGTTCCAGGACTTGCTGGCAGAAGAGGAAAAGCAGTAGGGTCCATGGGGTTGGTGGGTGGTGGAAAGCACTGTGAGAGGCACTCTGAGGGCAGCTGCATAAACAGAAGCCCAAAAAGAAGCAAAGGCAAGTTGATGGGAATTGTGAGGTGAAGGCTAGGACATGAGGTCAGTGTTGGATGGTGGAGAGCCTCGAACACTGGTGTGAGCACATGGCTCTGATTTGACTGGGCAGTGGGAAGCCAGCAGAAGTTCCGGTGAGAGAAGTGTCCAGACATTGGGGGTTGGGAGGGGAAGCCTTGGGACAGGAGACTAAGATGCAGTGTTCTGAATGACATGAATACTCTGTCTTCTGACACTACCCATGCTAATATTTCCTAAGGCTTTTTACTATGTGTTCTTTCCCTAGCAGGCTGCGTGGGCTTACTCTCTTGCTTCTTCCTCCTGACCTTCTCACCATCCTTTGTAAACTTGTCCATTAGCTACCTCCCCAACTCTGAGATGTCACTGTGCCCCAATCCAGCTTTGCCCCCAGAGACCCACCACACCAGGGGCAGACTCTGGAGGCCCACAGTGGCTCCGGGAGCAGCCCTCCTCCACCCTCCATGTGCCCCTGGGATGCAATGAGGCTCAGTGCTCTAGCCACTCCTCCTTGCGGTCATCATGGCCTCTGGTCACTGTTCTCAGGCACCAAAGTCTAGTCTGGGACCCTGAGAAACTACAAGCATCTGAAAGGCTGTGTGAAGGGTCCCGCCTGCACCTGTTTCTTGACCTCCATTTAACTTCCTTTTCCCACTTGTGTTCTCATGCCCATCCTTGTCACAGTCTGAAATGTCACTTCCCAAACCAGCCCATCAGTCAGCCCTCTTTCTGGCTGCCTCTCCTCCTTCTCTCCACCTCTCATTCTTCCACTGATGGCTGTCCCAGGAGCTGCTGGGCCCTGCAGGCGGCTTCTGGCTGTTACCTTTCTGTCCACCTCCTTGGCTGACTGTCCACAGTGGCTATGTCTGTCAGCCTCCTCTCTGTTCAGACACGTCCCTCTGTGGTATCTACTCCTCCCCTGCTGGCTTCCTTGGGGGTTTCCTGCCTTGTGCAGACTCCAAACTGCCTTTTCTTCCTGTGTTGCTCTTCTCCTGTTCTGTCTGCTGCTTCCAGAAGGATCTGTGCAGGGCTCATGACTGACTTTCTCTTCTTTCCCCCACTGCTCCAGCCTGGCTTCTGCCCCAAACCTCCTCTGAGACGACCATGGATCCAGGCTGTTTCCACCAAATTGACAGGACCTTCCAGTTCCCTTTTTACTGGAAGAGACAGTTTAGACTAAAAAACTGCCAATTGTTATATCCTTGACTTTTGTAGCTTTGGCTTCACTGATACTTCTGACTTTTGTGGTGTTTCTACCTTCCTTTCTGGTTTCCTATTTATTTTTATTAAGTTTACTGGTATAATTCAGATATACATAATGATCATTGTCATCATAGGAAACTTGTACCTCTACATGATATATCTTAATTCCCCTTTGTATTTTTGAAGTGGGGTTCTGCTAGTCTTGAACTTCTTGAACTTCTAGACTAGCTTGAGTGCAAGCGGTCCTCCCAACTCAGCCTCACAATTAGCTAGAACTGCAGTCACCCATCACCATATGGAGTTGCTCTTCTGGTTATGTGATGTCTGAGGGGAGCCCGGTCTTACCCACCCTGGGGGTTTCGGAGCCCCTGGGTCCCCACCATTTACATATCTGTGTGTCCAACCCGAGACTGCATCTTAGACTGTAGACTCCCTCTCTTACCTTTGCTTGTCTGTCCCATCTGCAAATAATATTCTCTCCTTACTTTATCAGAATAGACGAAGTTCCCCTCCTCTGCCCTCTCAGTATTTGTATGGCAACCCTCCTTTCATGGGGCTCTTCTTTATTGAGGCAAAATTCATCATTTTAGCAGTTTTAAAGTGTACATACACTTTAAGATGGGCACGGTGGCTCACTCCTGTAATCCCAGCACTCAGGAGGCTAAAGTAGGAGGATCGCATGAATTCAAGGTCAACTGGGCTACACAGTGAGACTGTCTCAAAAAAAAAGTACAATTTAGTGGCTTTTAGTATATTTACCATGTAGTGTAGCTATTTCCACTATCAAATTTTTGAATAGTTTCACCCCAAAAAGATACCTTGAACCCATTAAGCAGATCCCCTCCACTCTTCCCTAATCTCTCTGGCAGCCACTAAGCAGTTTTCTCATTCTGTGTACCAGTGGATTCAGCACATCTTATAAAGGGCACCACATAACACGTGAGCTTTTGTGTCTGGCTTCTCTCACTTAGCACAGTGCTTCAGGGCATCCTGTAGTTCATTATTCAGCAGATATGTGTTGCCTGCTGTGACAAAGATGGTACAAAATGTTGGCCCTTTCTGTGATAACACAGATCATAGTTGTAAAGAAATAGCAAACTATCTTCTTAATGTCTTAAGAGCTTCCTAAGGGCAGAGATGCTGTCTCATGTCAGTATTTACAGTATCCAGGATTTAGTCACCAAGTTTGTGACACATGAATGGAAGTCATATCACAGGCAGGGCTGTCTGTCCTGCTCACCAGTATATTTTCATAATTCAGCATGGGTTGGCCAGTGAGTAGCAACTGTGTTTGTAGAGTGGGGCAGTGGGTTATAGAGGGTAGGGGTAGTCCCTGGGGGAGGAGTGAGCTCCGAGAGGGCTGGACCCAGCTGCCCCCTGACCCTGTCTGTTCTCTCCCTGCAGGCCGAGTGTCTCTGGCCCAGTTTGCCCTGGCCTTTGTGATGGATACATGTGTGGCAGGTGCGCTGCTCTGTGGGGCTGGGCTGCTGTTCCATGGAACACTGCTGCTGCGGGGCCAGACCACATGGGAGTGGGCTCGGGGCCAGCACTCCTATGACCTGGGTGCCCGGCACAACCTGCGGGCAGCCCTGGGGCCTCGCTGGGTCCTCATCTGGCTCTGGCCCTTCCTGGCTTCTCCTTTGCCTGGGGATGGGATCACTTTCCAGACCACAGCTGATGTGCGGCTTATGGTGTCCTGACTCCAGGGGGAGCCAAAACTAAATGGGGCAGAGAGGAGCTTGGGGGTGGGGGGGTGCAGTTAACATGTTTCCAGCAGCACCTCCAGGCACAGGAGGGAAGCCAGGTTGTCTCTTAATGCCTGGAGTAGAGCACTCTCGCCCTTTCTCAGCCTTTCTTGCCCCTGCCCAACTTCCAGCTTGGGCTCAGGTCTTGTGACTATGCAGCTGGGCAGAGATTACAGAGGAGTCTGGCAAGGGGTTTCTCAGCTGCCCCTCTCTGCCACACTAATAAAGTGACCATTAGGTCCTTGGCCTTCCTCTGTCCTTCACTGGGTTTTTCTTTTTTTTTTTTTTTTTGAGACAAGGTCTCACTATGTAACCTAGGCTGGCCTTGACTTCAAAGCAATCCTCCTGCCTCAACCTCTTAAGTGCTAGGGTTACAGCTGTGCATCACCAGGCCCAGCATTTTACTGGGTTTCTAGTCCTCATTTTGTTGTCCTCACTGCTGTTGCTGGTACCTCTTTTAGGCCTGGAAACCACAGGTGTCCAAGAGGCCAGGGCTGTGCTTCCTCTGGTCCTGGCAGGGAAGTGGGATACAGGGAGTGAGAATCCAGACTTCACAGTCCCACTCTCTATGATTGGAAGCATTTCTACAATGCTCTAAGAGCTTCTAAGTTTGGAACCTCTCTTAGCTACTGTGGTATATACTGAGTGGCAATTATACTTCTTATTTGGTGAGTGAAAAATGAGCTAGTACATAGAGGAGACAGGATTTGAACTCAGGTCTTTCACCTTTCACCTCACCATGCAAAGGGAGTAGAAAAAAAAAAATCAAGGCAGAGCAGCCAGCTGGGTCTCAAAGAGGATGGCTGTGTCCCTCTGTGACTCTTTGGAGCTGTGTGTCCCACCTTTTTATGTAAATATAGGAAACAGCAGGCTTGAACCCATGAGTTTATCTCTGCTCTTAGAGCCTCTCTGAAATGATACTAAAGATATAAAATAGATAAAAATTTACAAGAGAAAGGAATATAGGAGATAGAAGTAGGTCAGAAAGGTTGACTTTTTCTTTTGAGACAGGATCTTACTATGTAGTGAAACTCAACAGCAATCCGGAATCAGCTTCCCAAGAGCTGGTATCACAGATGTTCACCACTACTCCTAGCTCTTAACAATGATTTAAAAGATAGAAGGCTGTTAAGAGCCCTGTTCACCCTCTAGCAGTGAATTAGAAATTGAAGTAGCATGTTCTGAGGGCCTGAGACACAAGCAGAACAGCCCCTTTCTGAGAGGCTCAGGAATTCCATGGGTAGGGTAGGCAGAGGGGGCTTGGGGCCAGCCATGGGGACAGAGGGAAAGTGTCTAAGGAGCTGCTGGGTGCATCTCACCTGAGCAGCCAAGCAGCTACCTCTCTGTGGTACAGTGGTTTTACTAGAAGAGAAACTGGATCAGAGGACCTGTGGGTCTTGAGGAAACTGAGGAAGATGGGGTGAGGGGCTGGACCAAAACTGAGATGAAGTGAAAGACCACAGTTAATGTCGTGGCCCTCCTGTAAGAGGCCTGTCTCCCCAGAATGCTTAAGGGAACCCACCCTCTGACAAAGCTCTGCCCATGCCAGAGGGTACTATCTCCTCCAATCAGCATGTGCTATTGCTGTGGTGTGCCCGACCCTCTATGTGCTATGTACTGGTAGATGTGTCTGGTTTCCTCCCTGCGTCGTCCCCTGCCCTCCAAATACCTTATTTTTCATGTTCTTTATTTAATGGTGAAGAGATGCAAGAGAATATTTATACTCCCCATATCTACTGTCTTTTTCTCCCAGGAAACTATCATTTCTTTTAAAGTCTTTCCTGGCAGAGAACACATTGTCCTGTCTTAATCATTCCCTTACTTTGCTGTATAGTTTTATTATGTTTGTATTGGTTTTGCATGTTTTTGAATTTTTATATAAATGGAATTGTGGAGTTTATTCTTCTATGATTTTTTTTTTTAACTTAATGTTATATTTCTGAAATGTATCCGAATTACTGCATGAAGCTGCAGGGAGTTCTGTTTCCCTGCTCTACAGTGATCTACTGGACATATACATTTAATTTTTCTACTTTGTTCCACTGGTTATTTCATGTATCATGATCTTTGGGAATCATCCACTGAGAGCCCTTGCTCTTCCATATACATTTTAGAATCAGCTTGTCAAATTCCATCAGTAACACCTCTTCAAATGGAACCCTGTCGAATCTATAGATAGATGAACTTGGAGAAAATCAGCCTCTACATGACACTGAATCTTCCAGTTCATGAGCATTTCTCCTCATTGAATGTTTTCAATAAAGCTGTATCTTTTCTTATAAAATTCATGCCTTGAGTATTTGATATTTTAATGCTTTATGTATGACTTAAGAAAATAGTGGGCCAGGGAGATAGCTAAATAGAATAAGTGCTTGCATTAGCTAAGGTTTTTGTTTTTGGTTTTTTCTGGCGGAACCGGGGATTGAACTCAGGCCCTTGTGCTTGCCAGAGAAGCACTTATTCTACTGAGCCATCTCCCTGGCCCCAGCTCAGTTGTTTAAGCACCTGCTGGGGCAAACCCAAGCAGGTACAGGGGACTATGGTTTGATCCCCAGCTCCCCACACCTTACTAGATCCGCCCTTAAGGCAAGCTGAGTCAGCAAAAAAAAAGAGGTTCAGCTAAAAACAAATTTTTTAGGTTTCCAGAGAGGGGGCCAGGGAGATTGCTCAGTAGAATAAGCACTTGCCTGGCAAGAGCAAGGGCCTGAGTTCAATCCCTAGTTCCGCCAAAAAAAAAAATTCCAGAGAGGACAAGGACTATGTCCACTTTCAGTTAGGGGTTTTTAAGACAAGACAGGTATTGTCAATTCATTATGCAAACTTATTCAGTGCCTGACTGGCATGCAGGGTCCTGAGTTCAATTCCTGGTACCAGCCAACCAACAAAATCAGTAAGATACTCAGCATGCACAAGGCCCTGGGCTTGATTCCCAGCAACAAACTCAGAAGAGGTCTCCCCACCCCTTTTACCCATCATAGAAAGTTTCCTCTGCTGATTCTTGTGAGATGAAGGTGGAGTGGTTTAATTTATACTGAGCGTGTGAAATCTTTAAGGTCCTCTGTTACCCCCATCTTGGAGTAACAAAGAAATACCTTGGAAAACAAAAAGTTAAAACTCGGAAATACTAGTAAAATAAAATCTGGTAAAATAAAAAGATAATCTCAGGTAAGAGAGAAAATACATTTTTGAAAAGATACCATAAGACTGAACCAAGAACCAAAAAATTGAAAAATAACAACAAAAATTTTAAAAGTTCAGAAAAGCTGATCAGCCCACTGTGGTGGCGCATGCCTGTAATCTCAGCATGTATTAGGCTGAGGCTGAAAGTTCAAGGTTAGCCTAGACTACATGGTAAAATCCTGAGAGAGACAGTGAGAGAGACAGAGAGAGAGACAGAGACAGAGAGAGACAGAGACAGGGAGAGACAGAAACAGACAGACAGACAGACACAGACAGAGGAAGACTAGTAAAACTCAGCAGAACCAAAACATAAGAGAAGAAAGAAATCAGGACCACCTTGGTCCCAGGGATGAATGGCCTTTTATAAGATGGGTTTGAGCTGGCCAGAGAGCTCAGTGGACTGAAGTGCCTGCTTTGGCAGAGCACAGCCCGCCCAGGGTTTGATCTCCAGCGTGCCATGCCAGCCCAGCCTCTGGGGCGCACTGAGACAGACTGAGACTGGGTGTAGTGGTGCACGCCTGTAATCCCAGTGCTTCAGAGACTGAAAACAGGAGGATCACTACAAATCCAATCTACATAGTGAGACCATGTACATCCTGACACCCTATCATAAATTTAAAAAAAAAAAAAGATGTTGAGTTTAACCAGAGTTCCAGAGAGGACAGAAAATTGAGAGGATGAAATGACCCAACAAACAACTGCAATACAATGTCCTGGGCCTGAAGGATGCACATCTGTCTCTGTTGCACAAGAAAGAATGACAAAAAGTCACACATGTCACAACATTCAGGACATCTGAGAGAAAAAAGATAATCAGAAGCAGGAATGATACAGAAGCCTGAAAAATGACTTCCAACTTCAAGTTTTATGGTCCTAAGTACTATATATATATATATCTCAAGAAATGTTCAGATAAGCAGTGCCATAAAATGTTAACCTCTTAAAAACCTTGTAAAGAACATATGGTTGGTATATTTCACCAGACAAAGGTGAACTAAGATGACCTGGACCCCAAGAATCAGGGTATCTACACATGGAGAGGGACAGCTAATTCTTTAGCGCAGACAGCCCTCAAGGAAGCAGGAGGTGGAGAGAAGTGTTGTGTGTATGTGGGCAACTGTCAGACTGGAGGGGGAAAGGATGAATAACTGGTGTGTTAAAAAATGAAGTGAAGGCCAGGTGTGGTGGTGCACACCAGTAATCCCAGCATTCAGGAGCCTGAGGCAGGAAGATTGATTCACTGTTTGAGGTTTGCCTGGGCTACATAAGCGAGTTCAAGGCCAGCCTCAACTACACAGTGAGACCCTATCTCGAAACAAACAAGCAACCCCCCCAAAAAACCCACAGAAGACAAAAAACCTAAGTGAAAGAAACATAGGCAATTACTTCATGAAAAATTTAAAAGTTCAAAGAAGCTTATTTATAGCCTAATTCTTGGCTTTGCAATGGACAACTTACATAGTAATATTTACATACATTTTTCACACAGTTCATATACATGAATTAAACATGATCTACTATTTCAAGAGAGAAAGCCTCACCTATGACAATCCCTATTGTTAGCAGATATCTAAGATTCATAAATAAGAAAAGTAGTATATTCACATTAGTTTATAAATAGCTAAAAGAACTGGAAGTAACTGTTGCAGGTGAGCCATCCCAGGGAATGAGGGGAGCTTTTTTTTCCTTCCCCCCCCCAGGTACCAGGGATTCAACTCAGGACCTTGTGCTTGCTGGGTAGGTGCTTATGCTACTGAGCTATATCCCCAGCCCAGAGCTTGGTTGTTATGAACTGTCTAATTCCGTCTTACCAAGTAGATGCTTATTTTAAAATTACTAAAAACAAAACCAACAGAAAAACCCCAACTCTTCTCATTTTAATGTGCACAACTGCCTGGTGCTCTCACTGGGTATCACACATTGTTTCATGTTCTATGTACACTTGTCCATGAAGCGCAATTCATATGTAAATTCTTGTCAGGTGCTGGGTAGGTCCCTTCCATCACCATGAATAGCCAGGAGGAGCTACCTGATCAGACCTTTTTGTTGAGTTCACACAGTTCATAGCTTGAGTGGGGTGAAATGGATTGTAAGGTCATCTGTTCCCCAACCTGCTGCCACTATCACCAGTTCCAGCAGGTTAGGTTGAGATGTGACAGCGACGCTCCTCCCCTCCTTGCACTCCACACCTTTCCATTTCCAGGTTCTACTGTCTGCTTGTTCCAACTGCACTTCAGCAGATACAGAAGCCCTCTGCCATCCTCACCTCACCTAGATGACCTGTGTCTGTGAGTGGCTGGGCAGTGTAGGGAGGAAGCGCACAGGCTTTTTTTGGTCTAGATCTATTGCCTCTGTTTGCAGTGGTGGAGACTGAATGCAGGGCTTCTCAAATGGTATGCAAGGATCCTATCACTGGGTTACATCCCAGCCCCCTTTTGAAAATTTTTACATTGAGACATAGACTATGTTGCCCAGGCTGACTCTGAACTGATGAACTTGCGATCCTCTTGCTTCAGCTTCCCCGATAGCTGAATGACAGGTATGCACCACCATGCCTGGCAGTTTGCTTTTTGAACTAGGGTCTTGCTAAGTTTCCATGTTGTTGAATTCCTGGACTCAAAGTGATTGAGCCTCCCAAGAGGCTGGGACTGGAGGCATGTGCCACCATGCCTGACACTCCCTTGCCTCTCTTAACTTAGCTGAATTCATTCTTTGGGAGGGTCAACACCAGGGTGGGCTGTGTCCTCCTGGTCCCTGTGTCTCAGGCACACTGAGTGGTATTACTGGGGGAAGTGGCCATCTCAGGACCAAAGCTTGAGAACAAAAGCTATATAGTTTTTCCTGCCAACTGTCACCTTTCTGGGCTAATTCCTCATTTCTCCAGAGGGGCTGCTGAGTTCGTAAGGAATTAGAGCTTGGGGGCCAGGGAGATGGCTCAGTGGAATAAGGACGTCCCTAGCAAGTGCAAGGGTCTGAGTTCAATCCCTGGTTCTGCCAAAGCAAAACCAAACCAAACCAACAAACCCAAAGAAATTAGAGCTAAAAACAGTTTAGAAATCATCTAGCTAAACTGCCTTAGTTTACATGAGAGGAGACTGAACCCCACAAGGATGTGGTCACTTGCTGCAAGCCTGAGCTGTGTACCATACCTCAAGACACATCTGGTCATCCTGGAAATGGTACAAGCTTCCAGGGAACAGGGCTCCTGGCTCCCAAGTGGCTTAGGATGGCCAGATACTTAGTAGGGACAAGGTGCAAGGGCCAGGATTGAGGATCTCTGATTCTAGATATGCACCTTTGAGTCTTCAATTTAACTTGATGCCCCTCGTGGATGTCTTTTGAGCTAAATTCCTTACACTCTGACTGCCATTTTCGGCACACAAGATTGATTTGGGTCTAGGGTTCAGAAGAGCATCCTAATGGATATTTCTGGGCTTCTGTCTTCTGGGCCACCTTCCGGGACCCAGAAATACCTCTCCTGGTGCTGCTGGTCCCATCTCTGCTGTCTGCCTTGGCCTTCCTCTCCAGGGTTGCTCTCCTGGCATGAGCATCAGGTCAGGAACACACCTAGATGATCTTTGGAGCTGGGGCTACTGGCTCCCCACATAGGCATTCCCTGCCCTCCTGTACTTCCTCCTTTGACTACTTTTGTTGGACCTCTGAAATCTGAAGTGGTAATTGAGTTCAAGACTTTAGAAAAGTTCCTTATGGGAAGGTGGGTATTCCTTGGGCCTCTGGCTCAGCACAGGAGGGAGACCAGAGCTCCCACTTTGCCTATAGGCTGAGCTAACAGCAGCCAGGCCTCTGTAACCTCAGTGGGGGCAAGGGGCTATGTCTCACTCAGGGAGGTACTCTGCTTTTCTCAGGCCCTTGCCCTCATGTCTTGGTCTGCAGTAGATGAGCAGTGTGCCTAAGGGACATGGAAAGAAGGGCTGGCCTCTCCTTGTCTCACCTGGACTACCTCAGAGAACTTCCTTGGGATCCAGTATGCTTTAGCTGGGGAGTGTGGTGGGCTGCAGGAGCTCAGGGGCACAGTGCTCGGCAAGTCCTCAGGGGGAAGCGCTGAGCCTTCTGGGTATTTAATGACCTACTGCTACAGGCCCACTGGTAGAAGAGGTGAGCAAGGGGCTGCTTGGGAGAGGAACAGGAAGCTGGGCCCAGCACCCTGCTGTGGCCTAGGGCCAATGAACATGCCCAGCTCAGTAGAAGTGGCTGGACCTTGCAGGCTCCATTCCATAGGCCCTTGATCACTGGCCCAGGGCTCAGGCGGCTGCCAGCCCCTCACTCACAGGCATGCTGATGTGGGCACTTAGCAGGGGCGTGCTCTGACCTTCTCGGAGAACCAGCACCTATGCAGAAGACACCCATGGCAGCAAGAGGCATGCACCTCGGCACCCTCACATTTACTCCCTGCAAAGTCAGATCCGATGTGCACTAGCCTGATGATGGGCCATTGGGGTCCTGCCAAAGAGGCTTGGACTGTGAAGACCCCCACCCCCACTGCCCAAGCCCTGAGGGCTTTATCCATGTTTGCCCTTTCCATCCACCCTAGGGTCCCACATGTCTTCTGAGAAGTACCAACAGACAACCTACCCTGATAATGTCTGAGGTGCCCTTGTTACTGAGACTCTGCACAAAGGTTTCCAGAGGGTAGATGAGCCCTGGTACCAGCAAGGGGACCTAGATTTGGGGATATACAGGTAAGAAAATCAGTCCTCATACCCGGATCATGTCCACTGTCTGAGCTGACCTCAGGGTGGGCAGGGATGACCAGCTGGCTCCAGAAGAGCCAATGCAGGGTGTCTGAGTGAACGTTCTAGGCCCATATGGCCCATCTGTGGTTAAACCTAGACTTCTTGACTCCTACCAAGACTATGGCTATCTCTTTTATGTTCTAGAGTCTTAGTTTTTGCTCTACTTACTTGGGGTCTGTTATGGTTTGTATCTATGTGTCTGTCACAAGAACCTAATGGAATAGGTGGGGCTTTGGGAAGGTGATTGGTGAAAGAGGTGCGGTCTGGTTGGAAGAGGCAGTCACTGGGGGTGTGGCCTGGAAGGGTTTATCTTCCTCCCCAGCTTCTCCTTTTATTCTGTTTCCTGTCTACCATGACTTTAGCAGCTCCTCTCCGCCGAGGCCATTCCACCATGCCTTCCTGCCTTGGAGCTAGCCAGCTACAGACTGAAACCTCTATAAACTATGAGGCAGGTTTAAGTTGTGGGTGTCAGCTACTGGGTCTCAGAAATAAGAAAGTGACTAAGACAGGGTCAAACAGGGGCTTGGTGTAGGGTTGGGGGGCTAGCCCTTTCATTCCATGGAGATTCTCTTTGGAATGGTAGGAAGCTACTAGCTGTGTCAGAAACAGCTGGGAATCTGGGTGAGCTCTGGGGCCTGCTGGTCCCTGGCAGACTGGAAAGGAGGGAGAACCCAGGCTCTGCTGTTTTCCCTGCACCTTCTCTGGCTCCCTAAGCTCTCAGGCTGGGAAAATGGCAGCAGAGGCAGGGCCTGGTGATTTCACCAGATACCTGCCCGGCTAAGCCTGCTTTCTGGCTAGAAAGTCAGCCTGCTGGCCAGCTGCTAAGCACATCACAACCTGGTTGGCGTGGTGGTATCTAATCAGTGTCCCACCCCAGTTTGTCTACCCCATGCCTCGGTGAGGCTGGTCCAGTACCTTGAAGAAGGCCCGGGGTAGGGCATAGAGCTCCTCGTTGTACAGGAAGCAGACCAACAACCCCAGTGCAGGCCGGGTAGTTGAGGTGTTCTGCAGGTGCAGTATAAGTTTAAAGGTGGGGCCTAGGCCCTGCACCTGTGGAGCAGTGGTGGAAAAGTCCTTTAAGACCGGGTGGCCCTGGGCATTGAACACAAGGAGCCCTGCCTGATGCTTCCTCATTAGTGTCCTCAATCCATGCCCTCCAAACGCTTCAACACTTGGCCCATCTGTCTCTCAAAATGCACAGGAGGTCCTGGCAAGTGCAGGGGCCTGAGTTAAATCCCTGGCTCCGGAAAAAAAAAAAAATGCACAGGAGGGCCTGCCAGATAGCTCAGTGGACTAAAGCACCTGCCTAGGCAGAGCACAACAGCCGGGGTTCAATCCCCAGCATGCTGTGCCAGCCCCACTCCCAGGGCATGCTGAAGCAGCAATTGAGACTGGGCATGGTGGCATGCACCTGTAATTCCAGTGCTTGGGAGGCTGAAAACAGGAGAATCACTACAAGTCTGATCTATGCAGTGAGGCCCTGTAGACCCTGTACTAAATACATTTAAGAAAAAAAAAAAAATGCACAGGAGTCCAGAAGGTCAGCAAAGACCCAGAAGTGGGAAGGGCCTTGATGGAGACTACTCAGCAAGTCAAAGGCAGAGCCCACTCCCTCCAGTGTGCTCACGGCTGCCTCCACCTGCTCCCTAAGGCCTGTTCTCCTTCTCACTCTCATCCTGGTGGCCTCAGTGATGCCATTTTCTCCCTCATAGCTTGAGTTGCTTTTTATTTCCTATTCTCTGTCTGCTCTCTTGAGGGAAAGGGCCAGTCAAAACCCTGAGTGGATCAGATGACACTCAGGAACCCACTGAGAGCTGGTTGGAGCCCTGTGGACCTAGAGGTCACTGATATCTGGGTGTGAGTGGGCTCTTTCTTCTCCCTTCTATCTGCATATGCCTCAGGATTCTGGGATCAGGTCAAAGTGGCCCTTTCCTGTACTAGGCAGTGCTAATACCTTGGGCTACCTTGTGGCTATTAAAGTGTGTAATTGTCTTCCTCGTACCATGGCCATGAGGATCTTTCCTGGCTCCTAGGAAAAAATGTCCCAAGATGACTACTCTGTTTCCTGCTCCAAATCTGGGGTCTATCAGAGGCACACTGGAAAAGGGGAGCTGGAGACTGTGTCCACCTCTGTGGCCACTTGCAGGAGAGGGCAGAACAGGAGGGTGAGAAGATGAGAGCAGCAACCACAGGAGGACATGGAACTCGCTCCCTGGGTCTGTGTGACAGTGAGAAGGGTGCACAGAGATTGGCTAGCTTGACATTGATTCTGGGGTGTAACTATGGTGGGGGTTCCCACCTACCCTGATCTCTGCCATGTGATCTTGCCAGCTCACACTTGAGTACTCACCACAGCATGCAGCTTGAGAGGTTCTCGGGATGTGGCTGACAGGGGGGTCAGGCTGGACTCAAGAGCCTGCACATAGGCACGGGCAGCCCGGATGCGTAGCAAGTAGAGGTCTGTCTGGAAGGTCTGGTGCATGCCTAACGAGGGGACACAAAGGCTGAGGCTGGAGGGAGAGGCAGCAGCAGGGAAGGGTCCCCCCGCTTAGGCTGCGGTGGTGGGGTAATAAGAGGAAAGGGCAGCAGGCAGCAGAGCTCACAGAGGCTGGGAATGTGGGGACGAGGAGGACCCAGGCCCAGAGGCCTGGCCTGGCAATGATGGGCACTGTGGACCACATCCTACTACTGCCTGGTTTTCCCATTATTCCACTGCCTACACAATCCCAGGCCCCTGCTGGAGTTCCCTGCAGTCTTGGGGTCGATTCGCTTCTCATTTTGCATCTTCCTCCCCTGTACAATCTAGGTTCTGTCCTGGCTCTGACCAACCCAAAGAGCTACAAGCACCATCTCCCGAGGGCAGGGACCTTACTGTTCTCACAGCCAAAGGGCTCCCCTGGGCCACACTCAGTATCGTGTGCTGTGTCCCCAGAAGCCCGCCGGCACCTGTGCCTGCCTGTTGCTTCTAACTGCTTTGTCCTCTCCACCTGGAGGTCCGTCAACATCTCAAGTGCAACACTACAGAAGGTAGCCTAGCTGTCCTGCCTCAGTCTTTGCATTCCTGCCCTTCAAATCACTTCACATCACCTCCACAGTAACTACTGCCAAGAGATGACCTTCCTCAAGTCTGCCTCCAGAGCTCTCCCTGTCCCCAGTGTGAAAATCATTCCTTGTAATCCTCCTGTTTTAGCCCTTGCTGCAATTACAAGGGCACAGCCCATACCTAGCTTCTATTTATTCTAGAATCAACTGATCAAACAGTTATAAAAACCCCATCAGGATTTTCTCTGTAATCTGGTAATCCTAGATTAATTAATTCTGGAAGAATAAATAGCTTTATGACATTAGGTTGTTCCACCATGCGACTTGATAAGCCTCTCCCTTTAAATTTTTTTAAAAAAATAATTTATTTATTTATTTGGTACAAGGTCTTGCTATGCAGCTCAGGCTTATAATGATGCGCCTGTCTCAGCCTCCCCAGTGCTGGGATTGCAGGCATGTCCCACCACACCCAGTTTCAGTGGCTGGCACAGCATGGTGTGCCGGGGGCTCTGGGGCTGGTACAGCATGTGGTACCAGGGTCCTTGCACTTGCCAGGCAGCACTTAGACCACTGAGCTATCTCTCCATCCCCAAGCCTGTCCACTTTATTTATTTATTTATTTATTTATTTATTTATTTATTTATTTATTTAGCGGTAGTGGGGATTGAACTCAGGCCCTTGCACTTGCCAGGCAAGCGCTTATTCTACTGAGCTATCACCCCAGCCCCAGCCTCTCCCTTTAGATAATGAGGTAGTCTTTCATGTTCTTGAAGACAATTTTCATAATTTTATTAATAAAACTTTGTATATTTTCTGGTTATTTATTTCTAGGGGTTTCTCTGCTACTGTGAACAGAGCCTTTTCCCATTATGCTTGCTAACTGGATATTACCTGTACTGTACATAGAAAAGCTTACAATTTTTTAATAGCCTATATCTGTTCATCTCACAGAACTTTCTACTTTTTTTATTTTTGGTGGTGGGGACTGAATCCAGGGCCTTAAACATTCTACCACTGAGCTTTTTTTCTGACACTATCCATTATTTTGCCATAAAATCCTGCTATTTTCTCTGTCTTATTTTATTTTTCCTTCAAACTAAGACCAATACCTCTTTCAACAACAGAGCTGGCTGAGTTACTGTATTTTTCTGCTTAAAATCTTTGTCTGGTCCACACTTCCTGAACAACATGCCTGAACTTCGCTTTGTATTTCAGGACCATTGCAAGCCGGCTCCGACCTACCTTCTTAGCCCTTGGCACTGTATCCACAGCTACGCGGGAGACAATTGCTTGAATCAAGGTCCTGTGCCCTTACTCTAGCCCTTCCTGCTGTCTGGTAGGCCTGTGATCATCTTTTGGTGGAAGTCAAGTCACCTCTCTCTGAAGTCTTTGTTTCCCAAGTGAAACTCCTTACTCCTGCTTGGGTGCCCCTGTGGCCTTGGCAGAATCTCCTTCTATACCTGTCATAACATTAAGCGGGCCAGGTGGGCTACGCTCTCAAGGTAAAGTAGCCTAATTCAGGGCAGGCACCTGGCACAATCATAAAGAATGAATGAATGAGTGAGTGAATGAATGAGTAGAATAAGAGTCTTGGCCATTTTTTACTTTCCTCAAGAGGATTTCTGCATCTGGAAGTGACTGCTGCCTCTCTGAATTCTAAGGCCTCAAGCACAGCACCCATCACCAGTTACATGAAGGCAGGTACACCTCCATCATTGTCGCTGGACTTCTAGAGACACAAGAGCTGCCTAGCTGGCCAAGGTGTCCTGCTGCTCAGGACACTCTGCAAAGGAGGAGGAAGAGAAAGAACCGAGTCTCACCAGTGCCAGCCTCCCGCTCTCGCAGTGTCTGATCCACATACAGCCGAGTCTTTCGGGGCACACTGATTTTTGTGGCTTGGGCTGGTGGAGGACCCATCTCACCTGTCCCCTCTACAAACACTGCTGTGCGCTTCAGAATCTTGATGATCAGGCCACCACCTAGGGAAGTGGACAAACATATTTATCTTCCCTAGTTTCAGCCCACATTTCTTTTTTTTTTAATTTATTTATTTTTATTTATTACATTTATTTATTGTGTGTGTGTGTGGCCAGCTCAGCCCACCAGGGGGCGGGTCTGGCTGGCATGTGGTGCTGGGGATCGAACCGCGGTCCCTGTGCTTTGCCAAGCTTGTTTCAAGTAGGTGCTTTAGACCACTGAGCCATCTCTCCAGCCCCCCACATTTCTTTTGTTTCCCAGTTTCTGTGCATGTCTGTCTTCCTGTCAGGAGCTCAGTTTCTGGAAGGAATGAAGTGTGTCTCAAACATTTCCTGCCATTAGTTCATTCCTTCATTTAGCAGCTACTACTGGAGTGCTTCGGGGTTCCTGGCACAGTGGCAGATGCTACGATATTGCAGTAAATAGGGAGACACTACCCAGTCCAGGGCCTAAGCCCGTCACAGCCACATCAAACTGCTGAGGAATTGTCCTGATGGTGGGCAGGCCCAGGCTGGACAAGGGTTGACAGGCCACCCGAGTCCACCTGAGCTTCACTTCCACTTCGTCTTCTTTCCTCAAAATCAGGTCTGTCCACTGCTCTGCCACTCCCATGTCCTTTCCAGGTCTGAATCTCCTCACCTCGAGTAGTCATGATGAGGGTGTTGTCCTCCCGCCCATAGCGGCCAAAGCAAAGGCTGGTCACAGGGTCCTACGTGGAGACAACAGAGCTTCGCTGGGGAAAATACTTACAGAGTAAGCAAGATGGAGCCCCAGCTAGGAGACACAATGGGTGAGGCTTGGGTCATGCTGCCTTAGAAACAGTTCCTATACCCCTTCCTGGCCCCTCATGCCTCAAGTCCACACCCACAGTTCCAGACAAAACATCACTGGCCCTCACTTTTAGGGGTGCCTCCTCGTTAGTCATCCCTCTAGTCTTCCTCCCCAGTCTGTCCTTCGCAGTGCTGCTTTTGCTGTCTTTCAAAGGCACAAAGTCCCAGTGGGTCCCACCTTATGCTATTCTGCCTTGGAGCCAGCTGAGTATGAACTGAAACCTCGACTAATGTGAGCTAAATAAACCTTTCCTTCCTTAAATGTGGATGTTGGGTATTTTGTCCCAGCAACAAGAGAAAAGTTTAGACAAGATATCATGTCTGCATCTTGTACTATGAATAACTAATACAAAGACAAAAATATGCAATGTATTAATTATTGTAACTGCCCTACTAACCTGTTTTGAAACTGTCTCATTGCTTCTTTCTCAGTAAAATTAACATTAAAAAAAAACAACTAAAACAACAAGAGAAAAGTAACTGAGACACCTGCCTTCCCAGCACCCTAAGGCTCCAACAGTTGCTTTCAGACTTTATGGTGTGGACCAGGACAATTATATACACTTGTAACTTTCACACATGATGGATCCTAAAATGTCTGTCTTTTTTTTTTTTTTTTAATGTTGTTGGCTGTGATCCACTTAATTGATACAATGACTCACAAGTTAGAGTTTAGAAATCTCTGATCCAAACCTATCAGGCTACCCAGATTCTTTCATCAAGAACCTCCACGCCTCCTAGCTTTTGCCCATGCTGTTCCCTGTCCAGAACGTTCATCCTCTTGGTAAACAGATTTGCCAAGTGAGCTGTCATTTGCTCTGGGAAGTGTCCCCTGAGCTCCAGCCCTACCTATCTCCTTCCCCTTTTCTCTCAGTCACTCAGCTCCCTCTGTGCTTTCTCAGTGCTTTGCTCTACTTCAATCTGCCTTGTGTGTTAATTTGTTGTATCTCTGGATGGCTGTCACCTGAGACTGTATCTCTGAAAATAAGGGTTTAGTCGTTATTCTGCTCCTCCCTAGTATGGTGACTTAAACATATGATGCTTCTGCAACCCATCAAAGTAAGGTGGGCAGAGGCAGCAAAGCACCCAGAGTAAGCCTGGGGCAAGGAGGAGTCAGTGGTGGATGCAGGAGGTGGGACTCACCGGGGTTCGGATGACATTGAGCAAGACCTTGTCATGGTAAATGCGAACCTCTGCATTGGCCAGGGCGACCATGACAGCTTGCAGGCCACGGGAGTGCTGCTCTAGGAGGTTCATGGTCATGATGGCTGCAGGCATCTGCACTGTCCACAGCCTCTTGCCCTGGCAGGGAACAACCAGTGTCTTCAAGGGCTCAGGGCTTAGCATGGGAGGAAGGGTGGCTGGAGTTGCAGGGAGGAGGAAACCACACCTTGTGTGTGAAGCCATGCAGGCTTTCTTGGGTGCTGCCCACCACCAGGATCTTGTGCACCCGGACAAGCCCCACAGGCTGGATGCTCAGCTCGATGCTGTACTTAGGGTGCTTGGAGTCTCTGTGGACAAAGACACCCCATTGTGTCCCCAGAAAACCCTTCTCCCCTGGCCTAGTCGTTCTTTTAAGTCCCCGACTAACCTGGATGGAGGAGCCCAGGCCCAAAGCAGATGACCTGGAATTGCTTCTACCTCCACCACTTAGCAGACGTGTGATCTTGGATAATATCAAATGTGCTTTCCTACTCTGCCACCTTCTTCCCCTACTATGGGGATGTAGATGATAACATGGCATCTAACAGAGTTCTCGGTGAGCTCATCTCAGGCCTATCTAGTCAGTGCTAATGAACAGAAGCAGTTTACTAGTTTATCAGAAAAGGATGAAGACTGACCGTGTAAATGCACTGTTTTCAGTTTCCTAGCTTCTCAGCCTTCTTTCTCTTATCCAGAAAGTCGGGGTGAGCCCTGCCTTCCGACCTCATCAAGGCTGGACCAATATCATAACTCATCTGATAACTGTGAGACCCCTCACTTATCTCTGGGTCTCATTCTAATCACTCGCTACCAGGTAGAGTAATCTTTTGTTTTGAGATAGGATATCTAGGTTGTCCAAGCTGGTCTTAAACTCACAGGGCTCAAACAATTCTCCTGTCTCAGCCTCCCAAGTAGCCAAGACCACAGGCTCATACCACCCCCCACCCAGCCAGATTTTTAAAAATGTAAATAAACCATGCAAGATGATACACACTGGGTATCCCAGCACTTTGGAAGGCTGAGGCAGGAGTATCAAAAAGTTTGAGCCCAGCTTGGGGAAATTTAGCAACTTAGTGAGACCCTATATCAAAATTAAAGTTCTAAAAAAGGGCTGGGGCCAAAACTCAGTGTAAAGGCCTTGCGTTCAATCTCAGTAGAACAAAAGCAAATAAACCGTAAATGACTTATGTGGGTGTGATGAGAACACCATAGTGGTTTTCTACTGCATTATAAACAAAATCCAAAATCTCTGCAATGTGCTATTGAAGTAGGGTAAAATGAAATAAGGATTGATACAAATTTTTTTAATGTATTTTAGTACAGGATCTACAGCATCTCACTACACAGATCAGACTTGTAGTGATCCTCCCGTGTTTAGCCTCCCAAGTGCTGGGATTATAGGCACACACCACTACACCCAGTCTCAGTCCACCTCAGCGTGCTCTGGGGGAAGGCTGGCACAGAATGCCAGAGATTGAATCCTGGTCCCTGTGTCTGCCTAAGCAGGCACTTTAATCCACTGAGCTATCTGGCTTTCCCGAAATAATTGAGAGAAAGAAAATTGCAATATTTTGGGGGGAGGGGGACAGGATCTCACTATGCAGTTCACACTGGCCTTAAACTCACTTTGTAGCCCTCCTGTCTCAGCCTCCTGAATGCAGGGATTACAGGCAGGTGCCACCACATCTGGCAGAAAATTGCAATTTTAAAATTATACCTTCAAGGGGCCAGGGAGATGGCTCAGTAGCATAAGCGCTTGACTGCAAACGCAAGGATCTGAGTTCAATCCCCGGTTCCGCAAAAGAAAAAAACCAACCAAAACTATAAAATTGTACCTTCAAGACGCTAGTTTCAGGATACAACCAAAGTTACCCAAAGTGACAATTTTCTTTCCCTTCTAGGCTACTCTTAAATCCTAAAAGTCTTAAATATATAATCAGCCCATAAAACGTGCCCTTCCTTGCCTTTCACTGGCAAAATGAGCCCCAGCTTTCTACAGATTCAGACTCCATAGCTTTCCAACCCCAGAATACGTAAATGTATATCTAGTCCCAAACCATAATGTACCTCATCCCCACGAGCCCCCCGACCCTCTTTTTGGTGGTACTGAGCTTTGCACTCAGGGCCTCTACTGTAGGCTACATCACCAGCCCTTTTAAAATATTTCATTTTGATACGAAGTCTCGATAAATTTCCCAGGCTGGGCTCATACTCTTGTTATTTTCCTAACTCAGCTTCCCAGAATGTAGGGCTAATCACCATGCACCAGAACTGTATTCCCTTCTGATTGTGTACTTCTTTACCTCTTAAGCCTCTCGCCAATGCACTCTGAACTTATTTTTTTCTGTGACAGGAACTGTCAGACCTGTCCTACCCTGCCTGAGATCATCTTCTTTGGACTTCTGTGAACCCTGTCTGGCAACACTGCTGGTTTCTACAGGAACCAAAACTGGTGTCCGCTTATCTCCCGCCCTCCTCCCTGCCTACCAGGCACTGGCTACACACACTCAGGTCCTTCCCACCTTGAGTTTGCCTAAAACATTCTTCCCCCACTTTTTGAACAACTGCCTCCCTGATCTCTTCAAGCCACAGTACTCGACCAGTCTGCAATACTTGGGTTTATTGACTTAATACGTGTTTTCTGGGGCTGGAGTGTAGTTCAGTAACAAGAGTGCTTGCCTCACATGTGCACACGCTTGCCTAGCATGTGAATTCCATTCCCATCACCCTCCAAAAAGAAAAAATCTGTTTTCATCATTGAGAGCAGAGACCTTATCTATAATATTGTGTGTATCAATATAGCCTAATACCTTGCTTAGTGCTTAATGTACAGTAGGTGCTCAGCAATTTTTGGTTTATTTTTCTAATACAGTATCTTGCTTTGTAGACCAGGCTGGCTTCAAACTAACAATCTTTCCATCTTCACCTTCCTAATCTTGGAATTACGGGCACGTGTCAGCACACTTGGCCTTAAATATATATATATATTTATGTATTTGGTACAGGGTCTCACTATGCAGCTCAGATTTATAGTGATCCTCCTGTTTTCAGCTTCCCCAGTGTTGAGATTACAGGCATGTGCCACCATGCTGGGTCTCAGTGGCTGTCTGGGAGAGGGACCAGCATGGCATGTGGTGCTGGGGATTGAACCCTGGTCCCTGTGCCTGCCTAAGCAGGCACTTAGTCTGCTGAGCTATCCTGCCAGCCCGCACACTTGGCTTTAATAAATATTTGTTGAATTAAAAATATATGGATAGGCATGGGGCGCACACCTATAAACTCAGCATTTGAGAAGTTTTGGAAAGAGGATCACTGTAAGCTTGAGGCCAGCCTGGGCTACCTGGTCAGTTTAAGGCCAG